CAAGCACACGCATCATGGAATGACTTAACAAAACAAAAAACAACCACAAAACCGTCATTTTGAGCAAAAAAGGCAATCACAAAAGAATGCATGAATTAAGATATTTATGTAAAATTCAAAAAAGCCTAAATTACACAATATACTGTTTAGAGATAATACGTAGGTAATAAGCATGTGTCTAGAAACATCAGAGCAACGACTGGCATATATTCTAGAGAGCACTTGACCCGGGGAAGTCAGGAGTCGAGGCGCCTGGGGGCACAGGGTACGGAAACCTCTACTTTCTCAGGCTCAGGGGGAGGTATTTGCGGGTGCTAGTGTGTCTGTGTTTCCGCCTGGCGCAAACATCTACGTGCTTTTGTGTGAGCGATGGACTTGCCATTTTTCTTCTCAAACAAAGAGTGAATTGGAGCTGACAGCACAGGCGGATAATGGAGCCAAACAGCCAGACATTTCTCAGGGGGGGTAGAGGGAGGGGACCAGCCCGGGGGGAGGACAGGCCAGGCGAGGACCTTCTCCAGAGCACACGCGCTCACTCACAGGGAGCACCCACTGCGGCAGCGAATCCCCCAGCCCCTCCGGACCCCCACGGCGGGACAGCGGTAGGAAAATCTGCACTTTATGTGCAGAAAGCCCATGATGCCAACTCGACTATATGTAGCTTGAACCCTTATCCTGAGTTCACCGTGGATAACACACTATATACAAAGCCTCTCTGTTTTTTTTAATCCAATGACTTTTCTACAAGCAGCAGCTCGATGCCTGTATCACAAACACGTACGTCTTTCTCACAGAGGCCAGCAGAGTCCCAAGCACTTTGGGGTGTGCGTAACTTCACTGTGGCAGTATTTTTGTCTCTGAATGTCTCTAAAATGTTAATAGGCATGACGATGTTTTGGATTACACTGGAGGAGGAAATAATTCCTGGATGAAAAAAGAAAAGGCTTCCTCCCCAGGCACCAGGTCATTGTCCTGAACCCACACATGTCGCTAACGAGGGGAGCCACGGCCCCATGGACGGCGGTGTGGCCGCGTGCGGGCGTGGGGGCTTTTCCTGGCTTGTTAAGGAGCTCGGGCGGCGCGTTCCTGATAGAAGAAAGAATAGTCACTTCCCAGCTGTTGTGTGGCAGGACAAAATGTGAAATTTAAACCATTAAATGGTTCTGGAAGCAAAGGACCAGGTGGTAAATGGTCTGCAAGGCAGATGGTACTTTTTAATCGTTGTGTTTGATCGTCCTCCGCTCGGCTAGAGACCATAACTACCGCTCATATTTTACCTTTTTCACTCGAATGCTTGCACAATGGTGGCAAAGGTTTAAAAATAACTATCGTCACTCGTAAAAAAAAAAACGGGGTGGGGGGGGAGAAAAAGAAAAAGAAAAAAAAAAGAATCGGTTCATTTATGTCCTCAAACAGGGCAGTGCTGGAGCCGGGCTGCACCGTGGCCATGAGTGGCGGGAAGACAGAGGCCTCAGACAGGCTGGGGGGCTGGCGCCCGGGGGGCTGGGACAGCAACCCTCACGGGGAACCTCGTCCTCCCCGGAAACCTCGGGGTCTCCATAAATAGGACACAGGATAGTCTTTCCCCTACGTTCTAACAGGTAAAGGAGCCGTAGGAACGGAGGCCAGCGGCACTCAGCTGCAAGCCCGCAGAGAGGGGACCGAGGACGCCCACCTCCGCTGGCCCTCCCGCCGCCACACGCCCTCACCGGGGAGCCCTGCGAGGCCAGCATCGGGGCCGGGCAGCCGCGTCTCAGGTCGCCTCTGAGTCACCTGTGATCTGAGGGCACGTGTGTGAATAATGGAGCCATGTGTGTTCAAGGCATGCGTGTGCGGTTTGCAGGATGATCGCCCAAGTCAGGGAAGCCGCGAAGGATGTGGACCCAGAGCCACGGGCCGGCGGACGAAGCCAGCACACCCCGCTGCCCAACGCGGGCAGGGCCACGACTTACAGGCCACGGACGGGGACAGACATGTGACGGACGGGAGCACGCAGCCCGTGGGAACCCCGAGGTGTGCACGGGTCCTGTGGAAGAGCCACGGCCAGGACCCGCTGTACCACACGCAGGCAGTGGTCTGGAAGGAAACCCCTGCTTGTGATAGGCTGGGAACAGCGCACGGGGCTCTTCAAATACGGGGTCTTCTTGGAGATGTGAAACCACGTAAAAGGCATATAATCAAGCATAACTCTTATGGCTGATCTTTCCAGGAGGAAGCCTGTTTCAGTCAGTTTCTAGGCGGGGGGGCAAGTCACAGCGGAGTGCAGGTTTTCACACTCCGTTAAGTGGAGCTCCGGAATATAAACCAGGGTTTCCCAGTAGAAGCACCACTACCTTCTGGGGCCGGGTACTTCCTCATCGTGAGGCTGTCCTGGGCGTGGGGGGGTGTGGTGTCCCGCTTCCGCCCCCAGACCCAGGAACACCCCCCCAACTTGTCGGACGTCCAAGGCTCGCTGGCTCTCATGGCCAAGCCAAGAGTATAAATAACTAGTCCAGCTCATTCACCAAACACGGGGAATCTCTGAAGGGAAACGAGGTTTCCGTCTGTAGATGAATGGAAACCCTGCGCTCTTACGAAATCAATTTCAAATATGGAATACGCTGCACCGACAGGTGCCTTTTTCTTGGTCTGGGAAACCTGCTTTGCTGGGAATGAGGTTCTGCCTCGACCCCCCTGGCCCTGCCCAGCCCTGACAGGGCACTTCCTCTCCCCCTCCCGTCCCCGCACGCCTCACCCTGTCACCTGTGTGAGGGTGTCAGGAATGTCCCAGCTGGTTGGAGACTGTTCTTCAACCTCATTGAATCTCACTGTATGGAGTTACTGACTGTGGTTAAAGCGAGTTCTGAGGGGCAAACTGCTCAGATGCCTCCAAGCTCCAGTTCTCAGAAAGGGTTCAAGGAAATTCTGGAAAATTCTGGAAAGGCTTCACCACAGCTATGGCCGGTGTCACTCACTGACATCAAGGGGATCACCACCAGGTCAACACCGCCAGGTGGTGTTATCTCCCAAACAACCTGCTTTCTGGGGCGCCCCGGGGAGGGCCACACCCACACGGGCCCCAGGGACGGGCACAGAGCTCAGCGGCCACCCGCCAGGCCAGGGTCACGTGTCCCATCCAGTCCCTGGCCTTGATTTTGCTTCCACCCGGCCCCTCTGTGGCAGTGTGGCTTTTTCAGATCAACACCGTCCGGGCTGTTGTAGAAGCCGTGTCTGGAGCGCGGCCCCTCCCCTTTCCGACGGCACCTGTCGGCAGTTACCTACAAGATAGATAACGCCGATGCTGGCCTCCTGACTGAGTGCGAACCACAGCAAATTTGATTACAGGGCCTTGTAAAACGCAAACATAGAAAGACACCTAATTATTATGTCACTTTATAAATCATATGAGGCATAGAAAGTGAAGCCACTTGGGGGCACATGGGTTTTGGTTCCTTCTAAGATTAATTTTCTCAGAAAATAGTAAGTCATCCTTAATAAATGCCAATGGACTGATGGATTTTAACTGAAATCTTGACACAGCTGTAAATTATGTTCCACACAAGAGATTATTTATGTGTTTTATTTATTTCCCCCATCACACCCTAAGTGCATGTTCACTAACAGCGTGAAATAGAAATAAGATTTTGTTCTTGAGACTACAATGTTCTGGTGGCCAACTAATTCATCAAGCCAACAGAGAAGTATGGACGCCAAAGGTCTAGTAAAAGGACTACATTAGATTCACCAAAAACAGGGTCAGAAAACCAAAACAGGGAAATAATGAAACTAGGTTATTCCTCTTTATACCATGAACTTGGATGTGTGCATCTCACAATGTAGTGATGCTTCCTGTTACTGATAAGCTAGCAGTTGACGATATGAATTAGAATTCTAGAATAGGATTATCATTAGAACACACAGAACATTTTTTTTAATTTTTAAGAAAGAGCAAAAGCAGGGGAGGGGCAGAGAGAGAGAGAGAGAGGGAGAGAGGGAATCCCAAGCAAGCCGTGTGCTGTCAGCTCAGAGCCGGATGGGGGGCTCTTTCCCACAATGGTGAGATCATGACCTGAGCCAAAATCAAGAGTCAGACACTCAACCGACTGAGCCACCCAGGCGCCCCAGAATTTTTATTCAGGTCTTATCACATGCAAACCTAACACAGAAGTGGGAGTAGTAGCTCTCAAGATTGAGTCCTTCCTAAAAGTCATTCCAAATTAATGTTGCTCTTGCCACACACATTTAAGGGAAGGACCTAAGCCCGGGTTCTTGGGTAGCTTGGACACATGGCCTGCTGGTCGCTGTTAGCAGACACACCTACAGCTGTGACCACACATGGACAACAACGGAGCCGTGGCCAGCCCAGGGCCCGGAGCCCCCATCTCGTCCTGAGCCCCTCAACACGCCCCTGGGCGCCACCGGGGCACCAGAATGTCTCCCAGCCCCACACCTGCCTTGAAGACTTTCCAGAAGAAGCACACAGCCACGATTAAGGAACCCAAGAAGCTTCGCGGCCACGCCTGCCTCACGGTGAGCCGCGCTCCGCGGGGACCTCCCGAGCCCCCCACCCGTGTGCTCAGGTCCAGCCCAGCCGGGAGGCGGGGGTGCGTAGTGAGCCTCAGCACTGCACGGCTTGGTGTCTCACTGACTCAGGTGCTCAGCTAGTTTCTGGCGTGTTGTCTCTGCCTCCCCCCGAGCTCCACGCACGGACACCGCAAACCCGGGTGTCCGACACCGTCAGGTACATCCCCCCCCAACACCTTCGTAAAGGGAAGCCTCGTGTCTCCAAACAGAGACTTCGAACCTGGCGTTACGGCAGAGAAAGCCCAGGCTGGCTTAGCAAGAGCGTCCTCGATGGGCCTGAGGTCCGTCTGTGCAGCGGAAGCTGACGGAAGCTGTACATCCCAGGTTCTGGGCTCGCGCGTCCCCGGCCCTGCGCAGGGGGGCGGCCGCTCCCTGCCTCGCTCTCCCGCCTTGAGCTCGGGGCGGCTCCAGGCGCAGAGGGCGTGCTCTGTGCTTACCCGAGAAGGGGGCCGTCCGCAGGGGTATTTTGATGGGTGCCAACGTCAGGAAGTGGCAGGGCTGCACGCGGGGGGGCGACGGGCCCCCAAGTCCCTCGGGGTCCACAGACACCACGGCAGCGGCGGTGATGGCGATGGCGGGGCTGCTGCCAACAGGCTTAAGGCTGTTGTGACAACCACCTGCGGAAGAGGGACAGGGAGGTCAGCGTGGGGGCGCCCGGTGGCCGCAGAGAGAGGTGCCATCTCATCGTGCCACATACGAGCGCCCAGAAAGCCAGGGCAGCACAGCCCTGTTCTCAGAAGCCCCCGCCCCAGAATCGAACGGGACGCATTCCCAGCCGGCCAAAGTGCTGACCGAGCCCGGGGCACACGCACACTGCTGTGTGGCGTTCGGAGCCGCCAGGCTTCGTCACCAGGGGCGCGCGTGCCCTAGAGAGAAGTGGCTTTGCTGCGGCGCACATGCATGACACGCGGCTGGGGTGCTGGTGACACGTTCACAGCTGCTCGGAGCAGCGTGAGGGCCAGGGAGGAGCACCGGCCCAGGGCAGGCGGCGGCCGAGGGGCGGGGCGGGTTTTCGGGGGGGGGGGCACAGGTCGGGGGGGCTCAGCTGGTCCCTGAGGATGAGGCTGTCACCTGCCCGGCCTCTGCGGTGGGGAAACGCAATACCCACATCAGCCCGGCTCTTTCCTTGTGGGGAGTCGGGCTCCAAACCCGGAATTCACGTTGCCTTTCCTGGCATAATTGGAAATTTGTGAAAGTTTGCCTCTGTGCCTTTTCTGTAAAGTTTTATTTTTTTATTTACTTGTTTTTCTTATTTATTTTTATTTTTTAGTTCACATCCAAGTTAGTCAGCGTCTAGTGCAGCTGTGACTCAAAAGTCCATCCCTCCGTGTAACACCCGGTGCTCATCCCAGCAAGTGCCCTCCTCAGTCCCCTCACCCATTTAGCCCATCCCCCCACCCCACCCCTCCAGCAGCCCTCAGTTTATTCTTTATATTTCAGAGTCTCTTGTGTTTTATCTCCCCTCCCCGTTTTTATATTATTTTTGCTTTCTTTCTCTTGTGTTCGTCTGTTGCGTTTCTGTAAAGTTTTTTTAAGGAATCTCTGGTCCCTAAAATAAGTATGGTTTCTAGGAAATATTTGGTAGCTACGGCTTGTATCGATGGGTCGAGCTCTGGAAAGCACTTTGAAAACATGTTTTTAAAATGTTAATGTAGATCACCCAACTTTTGACCTAATGTTTCCCTTCATGTAATTCGCCCACGTGCCCAATGCCTGCAGATAAAGGTTTGTGGTGAGAGCCCAGAAACACCAGCAAAGGGCACGTGGCTGTACAGACAACGGTTTGTCCACGGTGAGCCCCGGGCAGCCAGGGAGTCGCAGCGGAGGAGCAGGCGGGGAGCACGCGGCGCCCCGGGGACGGCCGCGGTGTGTTCGGCAAATAAAGCAAATTACAAAATCGTTTCTATTTCTACACCGTAGAGTGGTTCAGCCAACAAATCTTTATTTGGTTGACTAGATGCCAAGCACATCCTAGCTCTCAGGGACGGAGCAGTGAGCCAGACAGATGGCAGGAAGGCCAGCCTGCGGGAACCTCGGCTCCCAGGTGGGGAGGACACACACCACGTCCATCCTTGTTTATTTGTTCTGTGTTACACGCTGATGGGCACAGCGCCGCAGAGGAAAGCAGGGAGAAAGGATTGGGAATTGGTGGGTGGGCTTCACCTCACACAAGGGTGTCAGGAAGGTCTGCCCTGGGACAAGAACCCATAGGTGACAGCCTGCGGGAGGCTAGAGGGGACGAGCAGTGCAGGAAGAGGCGAGGAAGTGCAAAGGCCCTGAGGCAGGCGCCTACCCAGCGTGTTGCAGAAGCTGCAAGGAGATCCGGGGGGTGCAGTGGTGGGGCAGAGATGAGGAAATGTGGGGGTGGGGGTGGGGTTGGAGCAGCGGATGGCGGGAGGGCATGGTGTGGGGGAGGGGCCTGCTCTGACTTCCATTTTAAGGCATCGTCCCGGCTGCTTTATTGGAACAGACAGGAAGGGCGCGAGCCGGGGTATGGCTGCACTCTGCCAGGCCCACCGAGTCTGTCTTTGTCTCTGTCTTTCCATATTTTTCAAATTCCCTTTAACAGGCACATGAGTTTTAAAATTTTTAATTCTTATGGAGCAGTTTCAAGTGTATGGAAAACTGAGCAGCAAGTGCAGGGGGTCCCCACACAGTCCACCGTGGCCGCCCCGTCACCACCTCCCGTCAGGACCATCGACCACCTGATGAGCCCACGTCGATACCTTATTACCAAGTGAAGCCGCCGGGGTTTGTGCCGCACGCCTGTGAGCTCCGCCAGAGCCGTGGCGTCATGTGCTCCCCATCGCCGTCCGGACAGAAGGGGCTCCGTGCCCTAAACTCCTGTGCTCCGCCTGGTCATTCCCCCCACCCCCCAGACCACCGACCAGAACATTTCACTGTCTGTATAGTTGTGCCTTTCCAGAAGGTCGTACAATCGGAACCACACATATGCAGCCTTTTCACACTGGTTTTGTCCACGTATCCGTGTATCTTTGACATCTGTCTTTTCACGGCCAAGAGAGTTCCTTTCCTTTCGTCACCGCAGAACGCCCCGCCGTTTGTTACTAGTGCATCACCTGCTGAAGGACACCTTGGTTGCTTCCAAGTTTCGCAATTACGAATAAAACAGCTGTCGGGTGTGAGAACACGAGTTCTCTACGTGGGTAAATACCAAGGAGGGACCCGCTGGGTCGATGGGAAGGCAGCACGCAGCTCTGCAGGGAACTGCCGGACCCGCCGCTCCAAGTGGCCGCCCGCCCTGCGAGCCCAGCACCGCGGCCGCCAGCTCCTCTCGCTGCTCGTCCTCCGGCCTTCGCTCTCAGGGTCTTCGGATCTCGGCCGTTCTGACGAGGCCATAGCGGTATATCCTCATTGTCATGGTCGGATTTACAGAAAAAAAACCACTATTCTGAATATATAATCTTACTTGATAAGAAAAGCCCACTAGGGAGACTTTATGAGACGGAGTGAAGAGGTGTGGAAGGTGTCCCCACGGCCTCCCCCGCTGAGCACCGCTGGTCTTCTGTCACGCAGGAAGCCGGCAGCTTCCGGGCCGCGTGGTCTGCCACGTGCTGTGGGGCCACCGTCACAGCGCAAGTCCCGCCTTGCCGTGCGCTTCACAAAATGACCACGTCCCTCACCTCCAGGCGGCTCGCCCACGTCCAGTCACTATGGGAGTCCAGTCGTCCGGGCGCTAGGCCTGCCTCCCAGATTTGCCGTGTTCACTCCCGCCCCCCGCATAACAGGCACTGCCTCCTGAACACAAACATGACAGAAACAACGGTTTGCAAACAAGTTCATTTCTGCACACGTTGCTCTAGGATAGAGTATTTTGGGGTGTGCGTGTCTCAGTTTAATGAGGCAGTTTTGTGAAAGGCGACACGCGGCAGAGCCCCCTACAAACGTTTCTTAAGTGTGTCTTCTCTCCCCCAGGATTCATCCGTTCAGATGCTCTCACCATAGGTGTTTAGCCGTCTGTTTGTGCTGGTCAGAGACAGACCCGCCGCCGTGACTCAGCACCAGGTTCCATGGCCCTGGGGGCGTGTCGTCCGAGGAATTTCTCTAATAAATCCAACCTATTCTTCAAAATGAAGATGACCTTTTAGCAATAAATGGCAAAGTAATTATTGATGTTTTCAAAGAAGCAGATGTTAAGGCAAGAGTGTTTTATAGATGGAAGTGTGCGGACATTTTTATTATCATGTGATATTGCTGTCAAAAATAATACGTCACTTCCTGATTTCAAGCTATACTATGAAGCTATCATTGCCAAAACAGTATGGTACTGGCATAAAAGCAGACAAATCGGCCAATGGAACAGAACCAGGAGCCCAGAAACAAACCCAAGCATAAAGGGTCAATTAATATTTCACAAGGGAGCCAAGAGCACTCAGTGGAGAAAATATAGTCTCTTTGGTAAACGGTGCTAGAATAACTGGAAGAATGAAACATGACCCATGTCTTTAAAAATTTCTTTTTCATGTTTATTTTTGAGAGAGAGAGCGAGCAGAGGAGGAGCAGAGAGAGAGGGAGACACAGAATCTGAAGCAGAGTCCAGGCTCTGAGCTGTCAGCACAGACCCCAACGTGGGGCTTGAACCTACAAACCATGAGATCATGACCTGAGCCAAAGTTGGACGCTCAACTGACTGAGCCACCCAGGTGCCCCAAAACTGGACCCATGTTCTACGCCACTCATGGAAATTAAATCCAAGTGGATTAAAGACAGAAATGTAAGACCTGAAACCGTGAACCCAGAAGAAAGCAGATGATATTTTGGAAATTATACCTGAAGCTCAAGCAACATAAACAAAATCAGCACGCGGGACCACATCAGACTAAACAGCTTCTGCGCGGCAGCACCAACCATCAACAAGGTGAAAAGGCACCCGCAGCACGGGGAAATGAGTCATTTGCAAACCATGTATCTGATAAGGGGTTTGTTCCAAAATATATATTAATAAAAATATAGCTCCTACACTTCAGTAGCAACACACAAACAAACCCAAATCACACAATTGAAAAATGGGAAAAAGATCTCAATGGCAATTTCTCTAAAGAAGATACATGAGAGGCCAGCAGGTAAGTAATGAGGTGCTCCACACCACTCATCACCAGGGAAATGCCAATCTGAACCACAATGAGGCATCTCCCCACACCCGTTGGAACGGCCATCAACCCCAAATAAGATGACAGATGCTGGCGAGGATGTGGAGCAACGGGAGGCCTCGTGCACGGATGGTGGGCACGTAAGCTGTTGCAGCCACTGAGGAAAACTGTAACGCCCACCAAAAACTTAAATACAGGACTACCCTGTGACCCAGCAATCCCATGTCAAGTGGTGTGCCAACGGTAATGAAAACACTAACTCAGAAATCTATGTGCACCCCATGCTCATAAACAGATTTCCAGCAGCCAAGGCACGGAGGACACAGATGTGACCCACAGACGTGAATGGAAGGAGACATTCGTACACAATAGACTGTCCTCCGTCATAAAAAAATGAGGAAATCTTACCATTTGTGACAACATGGATGGACCCTGAAGGCATTATTCTAAATGAGATCATTCCGACAGAGAAAGGCACATGCCACATGATTTCACCTATATATGGA